ACACACACACACACACACACACACACACACACACACACACACACACACTTAGCGCGTTATATATAGTAGGAATATAGTGAAGAGCATTTATGAAAACAAGTTTATTGTATATAAGTATTCCTTTGAATATAAATATGAATACATATACAGGCCTGTTAAGGAAATTTTGGAAATTCAATAATTGGCATACTGGCTATATAATATTAGGTTTATTTGTTCATAATAACATTCATGTTATTACTAGTATTTACGTCATTCCTGGTACATATACAAGTAATAGTGTGTAATAGAGCAACTATAGAATGTGAATTAGTGTACACACATTACAGTTGCATTATACATAAACACAATTATAGGGTTGTTCTTTATATTAGTTCCGCTTTAAAAGGAGGTTTAATTATAGCATGCTCAAATAAATCTGAGCATCACACATACATGGGCAGGCAAATCTAATATTATTTTAGCCTCCAATAAGATTGCTAGTTATGGTTCACACTTATCATATATCAGGTTCTATTGTTTAAGTTATTTGTGTTTTTGCCTTTGATCATTTTACTATTTATGTAGTTATATAGTTAGTTAGTCTACAGTGGAGTTGACTCTTACTCACTGATGAGCCACGGGAGTCAACTCCACTTGGTGGTTCGTCTGAGTAGACGTGGCGAAACGAATCACCTTTTGTTACTTCTTATAACTCGTGTTGAGCAACTACTAGTAACATTGTTCTCTTTTCTCAACCCTCCCATAGGAGGCGAGGCTTGAGTACAAAAATGTCAGTGTAGACTTGAAGCGAAATTTCGAAGCAAAGGTTGAATCAGTCGCAAATAAATAGAGTCACTCAAGGAGGTTTGTTCATGGCGGACGGGGCGCGCACGAATTATGTTGGGTGTTTGTGTTTGGAAGGCTTCAAAGCTGAAAAAAGTGCAGGCGGGGAGGCCAATTTAACACGAAAGGAGGGGAGTCTGGCGTCAGCCGGGCGAGCCGACCGGTCACATAAATGAAACGAACACGTTGTTCACGGATTGCGAACCTCGTACATGCTGCCTCTTCTCAGACATGAGGGAAACAATGAATCCTCTTGAGACTAAACAACAACGTTCAACATGTAAGATCAGATCCCCGATGAGGCAAATAAATAGATGGTCTTCAAAAATCATGCCCTTCGCTTCTGGGAGGTCTACAAATAATTCTGCAGAGTTCGGACCACCTGAACACGACAATGCTGCAACTCACCCTGAGAGGGACGTGCCTCGGAGTTCGGTAATACGCTTTATGACGATCATTGCAGTTGATGTCGAAGAGAACTGAATTTAATCCAAAAAGTTTCGTTTTCTCCTCAATGATGGAGGCGAGAGAGTACGAGGGAGTTGGTAGAACTTACGGGCAAAACTGATCCGTCTTTAGTAAATACACCGAGCGTGAGTCGCAAGTTTCTACTTTGAAGAAAGGATGATAAGCAAAACTCCCGGTGAATGCATGGAGCATACACTACGTTCTCCGCTTGAAAAGTGAGATCACGGCTACTCTGCTAAGGCTGCTATCGAAGCCGGACGGTTGGCTGTGTATTTCAATCCGGTACTGCATTCAAATAACTTTCGAACGTTTATCTTTTTTTTGGGGGGAATTCATCTTGCAGGTTTCGTTTCCATATTTGTAACCAGAATTCTGAACTCTTCCGAAACTCCCAAGTCTGCATTTAGTACTCCATGATAAGTTGTAGATCTCCCCCTATAATAAATGAAATCCATCCTCACAGATTATTTAAGCCGCTATTACTGAATACGAAAAGAATTGAGACTTTTGATCCGTCTCTCAAAACACTGCCTTCATATCACAGTTGCTTGAGAGTAACACGATGCCTAAGTGAGTCTCAGCTAGGAGGACTGGTAAGATATGCTGAATTCGATCAATAATACGAGTAATCTGAATCGCATAATACTTACTTTTAGTAACTTTTTCTCACCTGCAGATCCTCACCCCAGAAGAGTTACTGTTCCGTTCAGTCCAACTAATCAATGACTCTCATAATGCCGCTAATGCTCATCCAGACGTAAAGCTGAGGTAGTTCCCACTAATGGAACCTATTGTCAGAGAAAACAATGATTATTCAGGTCATTGCTTGTACTCGGAGTCAATGAGCAATGTCTACATTTGTGGTTTGACTTGCTATGCTCAGCAAAAAATGAAGAACCAATTCGGTGCAAATACTATCATCCATGGGCTTTTATACGTACGCCGGCATGGCGACAGGTATGCTTTCTTTTTCGAAGCCTCAATACATCATTTTCATTTGCAAGAGGTCTTGATGCCGGTACTTGCGAAGGCCTCGAATGTTCCCTACGCCTCCCTTTTTTCGAACTACATAATGTACGACTCGAAAGTGTGTGAATTAAGTCTTTGCGTGTGGTGTCTCCATACAGTTGTACTAGCATTAGTCTGTGAGTACAAGTTTATGAACCGAGAATATCTATCGATAAGTCTACTTATTCTGTAAAACTAATGGATAATAACAATCAAATAAGGTCAAATAATCAATGGCTAAGAAATGTTCTCTACCACCATCAAAGTAATGCGATATACGATTTGAAGGCACAGTTCACGATAATTTTGGGTAATCCAGATCATGATGAAAAATGGAAGACAAGATCGAAACTAGTGCGACTGAGGTGAAGAAACTGCGTGCATCGCTGTTTCTAAAGTGAAAAAGGGCTTCGAAAAACCGTTAAAAGGGGGCTGGACGAGAACGAAACCAGGAAATAAATAAGAGTGGGGCGTCCGGACGAGTTAGACAGTGTGTTTCACTGCGCGCGTGTGGGTCCTGGTGCGAATAACAGACAATGTTGTGCGAAAATTCATTCACATATAAGCATATATAAACAAAAACCCTAGTAACAGCAAAGGTAGCTCACCTTTTTCAGCCTCTAGGAGTAGGAAATTTAAATAAGGGATTGTGGCAACAAAAAGAAAAACAGAGGAAAAAAGAATAGGAGAAAAACATCGCTCCCATCTATCGGCGATTACTTGATTGTGCCTGGGTCCTATAACGAATAATAGTAATCTGTATTGTCTCGACACTCGTCTAACGTGACACCGATCGAGGGCGGGAAAGCGAACTACAGCAGCAACGGGGCTTCCACTATGCCCTAAGCGCCGAGATTGTAGGAGCGAGACGGTCCCTTCTACCACCCATGGGGGGCGCTGAGTATTTCTGAAGGAAGAACTCGGTAACCTTTTTCATCGTGAACCGTGCCTTTAATAGAGAAGTGTCGTTAGACTTGTCAATTCCATATACCACAACAGACCTAAGCTTTCCTATTTCTTTGGAGCAGTAAAAAGGTGAAACCCTACTAGTCTGAGATAACTTATAAGTAGAGAAGTTGATTTTATTACCAGTGGAGGACTGCACGAGAGTTTCAACTTCTTCCGAAAGACGGTTTTTCTCAGAGCTTAGACACTGCTCCAACTCATGGTTTTTATCCAGCAACTTCTCCCAAAGAGGGCCTCTTCTAAAACGTGGCCTAGAACTGTTCTTGAGTGCTCCGGAAGCTGTTCCTCGCTGTCAAGAGATTCACTGCAAAAGGCATTCTCGGTGAAAATGTAGTTGGGGGGTGCGAGCGCTTTTTTGTGCTGTGCATCTCCTCAATTCTAATCCCATCTAATCATCTCACCCATCCCATAGCTCCTCCCCTTCCAAAACTTAAGGAAGGAGCTCCGGGGTGGGTGAACCAATTGTAGATGTTCCGTTCTTATCGAATCCCAGCTTTTGCACGAGATAATCATCTCTCCCATCCTGGAGCTCCTTCCCTAACTTTGAGAAGGGGAGGAAACCATCTCTGCGCTATAGCACGGTTTCTATGCACTGTGCCGTCTGGTGTCAAAGATGCAGAGTACAAAAAGGCACTGGCATCCCCCAATTACATTTTCACCAGCATTCCCATCAGTCCCTGGCGAATGCGTGGGATTTGAATCGTGAAATTAACACGAGGAGTATCCATAAAAGCAAAAATAAAGAGAAGAAATGATTAGGAAATGATCTAGTGCACCGTTTCTGATGGCAATAAACTGGATTCGATAGATCGCCGTCACTAAAACGAAAATGTAGCAGTGGGCGGTATCGGGCAAAAAAACTGAGCACGGTGCACCGGATAATCGATCAGGAATAAAAGGCCCAGAAACAACCTATTAAGGGTGGCTGCAACGCAATAAGCACTTAGGTGATCCGCAACAAGGATTTGAGGTGTAGTGAAGACGGCAATAGATGCAACTTGTGTATAGTAAATACGGACAATAACAGTGGTGCGTATATGGAGGGAAATGCAGATCGAAGACACTGTAGCATGAAGCGACGCCGCGCCAAGACACAAGGTTGAACGGTATGTATGTGCGACTGAAGATTGTAGAAGAGATCAAACAAATGTAAGCCCCACATCACATTTGATCCTATAACACGGCTAAGAGGAACGTATTTACTCATCAGCGGATTAAGACGTCAACAATGCTAATACCAGTGATGATATAACATATCTGTTCTTTGAAAGAAATACTGGCCTAAAATTAACAGTCGCGCCACTAGTCGACATGTCGTTTACAATCGATTCAGTTCGACATCTTTCGAGGAATATGGGCCTGACAAGCTTCGCGTCATTTCCATTTTTCTTCCATATCACTTGAATTCAATAGATTTCCTGCTTTAGATCTGTTTAGACGCCTTACATCGATAACTATGAGCAGTGTAGTTTTAAGTCTCAAGAAGAGATGATGTAATCAATTTGAAGCAGAACATGACGGTAGGGCCGCAAATAGGCTGATTATAATTCTTACTAGGTTTCTGTTGTGTATATTATACGTTGTTGTATAAGCGCATGTCCTGAATACGTTCACGATGAATGGCGCGGTAGCTCACCTCTCCCTTCGGTTGAATGATGCCGTAGCTTATCTTTCCCTTTGCGCTCGATCCGTTCTCGATTTTTATAGACGATCTGTATGTGTTAGGATGTTCGACCAATCTAGTCTGACGATCGTTGAACCACAGGAAACCTCTGAGAAGCAGCACTCTTCAAGCGAGAGTAGTGAAAGCATTTTTTGTTGAATCTATAGATCTTATAATACGGCTAAGAGGCCGATAAAATAGTACAATAATACGGACTATGTACAGATGAGGACCGCCTCGGGTAAACCTGTTCTATTGATCCACTCTACTTTTTCTAACAATAACTTTTTACATCATCACCCGTTTCCGCTTATCTGCTAAGAAAAAAAAGGGCAGCGAATATCGTAGATAGAGGAAGGATCACACTAAACTTTCTCAATGCATTTATTTGATGAGGGCTGATTTTTACTGTTTGAAATTGATATGTCATTGACTGTGTGGTTTCTCACCTTTCGACATTGGGGAAAGTGCGATTCTCGCTAGACTTCTTCGCGGAGGCCACACACGAAGCACTGCGCAGCAGATTACATCACGGTTTTGCAGCAGTCGCTGCAGTACCCATCAGTTGAGATGGCATAAACGAAATTCGCACTGGTCCATGGCTTTGGCATGGAATAGGCTGTGGAATATACAATACGTCGCGCTTCCATGATGATCGTTCCACGAGACATCTCAGTAATCGCGCCATCATTGCATCTTTATAGTCGTACCATGATTGGAAGTGATATGATGTAATTCCACCTTCAATTTAACACCATAAAACCATAGCATTCATGTTATGCATTATAATTGGGTCACATCAAATAGAGAAATTGATCTATGCCATTATTTTTGAAACAAAAAGTTCCACGAAAAGGACTCCATTTACGGAAAAGAGAAGTACCTGACGAAGGTGCGGAACACAATCTACATGTCGGGGTTTAAAGGCGTACGTAACCAAAATTATTAGTAAACTCAAAAACTCTAAAAAATCTTATTGATTCTTCCATCAACAATTTCAGATAAAGTGCGACTTGAGACTTTTGAGTCAATTCTCATTCAATTTGAGTGTCGACTTTGAGATTGAAGGCGTAGAGAAGAGCAACAAGAAAGCCGGAGCTGGAGTGAGTTCGTTCATTAACACGGCAAAGTTGGACATCCTTATTCAAGAGAGTGGTAATAGATCGTATTCCTGTTAAGGGTAAACCATAAACCGTGAATTGGAGTGTACTCCCAAACACTAATCGTTTAGGTCAAAAAGAAAAGAAATCGTACTTTGAAGAAACAATAATTTTCATCCTAGTTTTAATCTATGAATCAATTCATGTACTCTCAACTAATACTGGAGTACTGATTCTAGATGATGTCAAGTACCAAGAAGAAAATGCTATCCACAGTAATGGCCGGCGAATTGAAGCCACACGATGAGGAACCACTGAAGAAGGGCGTCACCGATATGCTAATTAAACATCACTTGTTCAGTTGGGATTTGTAAGCATTATTAACGCTACCCAACCTATTCAATGATAGCTCATTGTTAACAGCTGCTAACGGAATAACTTGATCTCCATGTTCAGATTGTACAATAGATTGTTGTCTTCGCTCCAGTGCTTTAAACCTTCTCAGAGTTCCCATTACTCTCACAGGTGTGTAAAGCGTAAGGACGAAAGTACTGTTCACATGAGTCTTTACTGTGGAATATTCATAGTTCGAAGCATTGTTGAAAGCATGTTGAAATAGGATTAGCGAATGCCAAAACTATAACTTCGATTTCGCGCTCAAAAAACCTATCCCGTCCTCATGCACCACGTATAAATATGTATATTCCTCTTTTTAGTTTCCGCCTACCAAACCATCAGCATGATCTTTCGGTAGCTTTCGACATTCCTAAGCGATTTATTCGCTCTGTATGTGTTGGGGAATGATAGTAGTGTTTACTATCATGCCGTATCATTGTGTATAAAAGAGTGTTCTGTTGAGTATGGTTCATTCGTTGTGCTAATTCCAATAAAGGACTCTACTAGTCGTCTGTGGAGTTACAACAAGTGGCGATCATTATGAGATTTTTTTGAGATCATTCCAGCAAAACCGAATCAAACTGAAGATGTTGTGATAGCCAAAATAGAGCAGGATATCCTCGCAAAGTATGAAGCTACCATAAAAACACTACCGGTGACCAGAATCCTGATTCAAGACGAATCTGAGAAAGACGAAGAGATAGAGTCAAGGACACCACAGCATTGAAACAAGGAGCATGGCCGTGTAGGCCTAGAGAAGAAATGCATAACTGGAATGCCTTACGGCATACACTGTCGATGCAAGATGGATGTCTGTACTATGGCCACAGAATCGTTGTTCCAAAGTCACTTCTTGGCGCCGTACTGAAGCAACTCCGCGATGGACATCTGGGAATGACAAGAATGAAAATGCTTGCAAGAGGATATGTGTATTGGACGAACATCGATAGAGACATTGAGGAAAACGTGCAAAAATGCCGTCACTGTCAAGAAACAGCCAAGATGCCAAGAAAGACGATTCTAAGCTCATTGTCTGACGAGACAAAACCATGGAATCGAGTTCACATCGATTTCGCCGGACCCATCAATGGAAAGATGTACCTCGTGGTTGTTGATTCGTACTCCAAGTGGCCAGAGGTCCTCGATATGTCGTCGTCCACAGTAAAAGCAACTTTGAGAGAACTCAAGAAGCTGTTTGCACGATTCGAAAATCCGAGAGTGATTGTGTCGTACAATGGAACACAGTTCACATCAAAAGAGTTTCAAGAGTTCTGCGAGAAACAAGGCATAGAACACATCCGCTCCTTCCATCCGCAATCAAACGGACAAGCTGAGCGTTTCGTCGACACGCTGAAGAGAACTTTACTCAAACGGAGGGAGGAGAGAAGTCAGAACCCCTAGCAGGGTTTTTAAAATGCTATCGAAGGAGCTGTGTACCATAAATTCCGAGCGACTTTCTTCAGAAGAGTTATTTCTTGGACGTCAGCTACGGACAACCTTGACGCTGCTGAAGGAAGAAATAAGAAATGAAAAGGGATCACGCAAGACAAGGATGGAAAGACAGTGTAATCTTCACCATGGTGCACGTGAAAGATCGTACCAAATTGAAGATCCAATCTATATTCGGAACTAGCGTCCTGGACATCAAAAGTGGATTCCTGCCCACGTGAAAAACCGTTATGGACGAGTACTGTACGACGTTTTGACGGAAGACGGACAATTGTGGAGAAGACACACCAACCAAATGCGAACCGGATCACAACCAAGTGCCACTGATCAAGCAAAGAAAACAGTTGGTGAACCTTCCCAGTATGAAAATCCACAAGAAAAGTATAATGTAGTACATAATGAAGAAGTGCAACCCACAAGAGATTTCAGCGATGAAATTATGGATCCAAATGCAACCGCCACAGTATTGGATAGAATGAACCGACAACGCCGTCCACCCGATCGTCCTCAAGTACGCCCGAGGACGAAGACATATGTGTGATGACATATATGTGATACATTCATCATAGGGGGGGGGAGGTGTTGGGGAATGATAGTAGTGTTTACTATCATGCCGTATCATTGTGTATAATAGAGTGTTCTGTTGAGTATGGTTCAATCTTTGTGCTAACTCCAGTAAAGGACTCTACTAGTCGTTTGTGGAGTTACAACAGTATGAATCATAGATGTCTCGTTTTTTGATTTTTTTCACTCTTTTCATCAAAAATAAAGAAAAAAGAAATCGACTTGCGCAAATTCATGCTTTTTTCAACCAGAGCTGGAGATCTCATTAGCAATGCGGGCGGTCCGCGTCTTGTGTGCATTTGAAACATCCCCTTGATGGCTAGCCGTTTAAAAAGGGAAGCATACTATGTCATTGTAATCAACCAAGTTAAGATGTATACTGTCGTGAGCGTTTCCAAATGCGATATTGAATCCACTCTTCTAAGGTGCTAAACGATTCCGGGACCGAAAACATGAATCACCAAACCGAGTGGCAGCTGTGCTACGTGCTGTGCAATGGTCAGTATACATTTCATCTTGAACTTCCACTGCGACCTAGTGTCTTTTCCTTGTGAGACGCGCCGAGAATGCTCAGTCCACCTTTTTGTTACATTTCTGCCTCTGACTTGAATGGAGTCCACTATCATGTGAAGTGCGTGACTTCTCAGCTGCATTGTCTGAATATGTTCAGGTCTTTAAAGACTTGGTGAAACGCCTCCTGGAAAATTCTGAATGTAGGATAAAACAATAGATTACAGGTTTCATTGTGTTTGGGTGTTGCCTCATAAAACCTACACTTTTTCATGCTTTACCAAATTCACATATAATTTAATAAGTGACTAGCTCTACAATCAGCCGATGGGAAGCACTATCATTTGAAAAGAACGGCTGCCTGCTAACATGTGATTCGGTACAACTTTATCGATTTGCCACGATTCTGTAGGCTCTCTGACCGCGGCTTGTTTATATGCGGTGGTCCTTGCCTAAATTCGGCACTCATCGATGCAAACTACCCGATGAACGGGCGTGATTTTATGATGGTGCATCTCACCACTCGGTCCCATGCGATTCAAGCCAATCACAAACTGAAATTCGTCCTTGATTATGTAATTCTAGGCAAGCATAAAATTCGCTACCTGCCATGGCTGACATCCTAGAAGAGAACTGTCATAGGGGTACTCCATGGAGTTCACAGGTCTCGAAAACGTCACCGATAAAGTATCGCCTTCGATTCTGCTGCTATGCACCACGACGTTGCTGATCTAAACGGAACTAAGTAAATGCAACTGGGTTTTTGCTGAACTCAAGTTGTTGTTCAAACACAACAGGCTGCCAACAACACAATCATCATCGAATTCCCAACCATACTCAGCTTCGTTAAGGCTGTATATAGCTAGAGTTTCGATGATGATTCTAATTTCGCAAAATTTGTGCGACACTTGAGCATAGGACGCTTCTTTTGACTTTTGAAGGCGAGATTTTGCCACACCGTACGACACGGATCCGCAATCTTGTACGAGCAAAATCAGAATTGCAGATAATCGTCCGGGTGGTTCGACAATCATGCTTCAGTGTCTAAACTTACTACTTGTTTGTCATGCAAACGTGATGAAGACGCATTACCAGCTCACGACCCAGCTACATTGAGCACTTCTGGCATGATCTTGATGAGTAATTCATTTCAGCGTGCCAACAGCAAAGGGAGGCGAACTGAGATAGCGCCGGGTGGAGGTGCTACCGCATGCATGGTCCTGTACATTGTGCACCTGAACTCGCCTCCCACATTTTCGGAATAAGGTGAAAGATTCCAGACTTGCGTGCAGGATTAATGCTCCGGTCTGCTTATGGGCTGACCCTCTTAATCCCCCCTCCTTTCCGATTTATGGCGGATCAAACACGCATTCATGATGATAATAGATTATGATCCTCAATGTGTCAAAACAACACCAACTAATGGTAAAAACAATGTGTCCTGTCCTTTTCTAACAAAGGACGGTTTAAGGCGGTCTCTCAAAGGATGGTCAATCATCAGTTCATGCGGTCCCTGCACTATCGTTATATCGTTATAGTGTACTTCAGCTTACTCTGTACATACTGTTGAGCTTTCACTACATTACTACGCGCATAACCACATTTATGACGTATTAGTAATCCTTGCACCATAGTCAAACTGTTAAATCCTCTGTGTCCGTGAATATAACGAGATGCCTAAGCTCCGCCATCGCCGGTCCCAAGCCCGGATGAGAAAGGAAGAGGGTTGGTGCGAAGGGCCAGCAACCCTTTCAGTGTAAAAAATTCTTCATGCTAAAGAAACGACGAGTACATTTAAACCTATTGCATTGCGGAAGCCTAACTTTGGCTTTGTGATAGGAAGTATCACGATGCGGAGTTCGGCTTTCTCACCCAAAAAACAAAACTGTCGTTGGAACATGGAGTGGGCGCACACTGTATCAATCTGGGAACCTTGTTTAGCTAATCCAAGAGTTTGACAACTACCCATTTATACACTAAAGATCAGCGAAGTCCGGTGGACTGGCCAATGAGTATGAGAAGTAATGGGAAGATATATAGCTCTCTGGCCCGGAAGAAAGACATGAAATAGAAGTGGGGCTTAGTTTGAGTAAGATAGCGGCGGGGGCTCTCGTGGATGGAGACCGTGAATGAAAGAATAATCACAGCGCGATTTGAATCAGGGCACACCCGCATCACAGTCGTTCAAGTATACGCTCCTACGGAGGACAGCAGTGAGGAAATAAAAGTCAGCTTTTATGAGCAACTTCAGGACATTGTTGACGATATACCGAGAAGAGATTTGAAAATTAGCACTGGAGGCGACACTGAGGCAGGACCGAACTGGACTTGAGCAAACAATTGGGCCGTTCGCCTCTTCTGAGCATCATAGTAGCTTTGTTCTGTGAGTAGAATGCAGTGTGTGTTTCAGATACGTTCTTTCAGCACAAACGAATTCATAATGGAACCAGGCGTTCGCCCGATGGGAAAACAAGGAACGAGATTGACTAGATTCGCATAAGCAAGAAGTGGAGAACGTCTCTTCAGATGTTCGGGTACTCCGTGACGCTGACATGGGTTCAGATCATCGCTTGATGAAGGCCGCAACCAAACTTCAACTGAAAAAGCAAGAGAATGAAGTCAAATCGCTGGACCATTTGCAGTGTAGAAGGAGAAAGATCTGTTACCACTGCGAGTTTTGCTCTATAATTACGGAATCGATTTGAGGTTCTCGATGAAGTGGGCAGAATGGACACCGTCAAACGCGTCATTCAGGGTTGTGCTCAGAAAGTAGTACGACGTATGCGGAAAACGAAAAGAGCAATGGATCTAGAAAAGCACCTGGCAGAGATAGATGGGAGGAAGCATTAGAAGCTTCGGAGAGAACAAGCGAAGAATGAAGACGAGCCTGACGAAGCAACTGGTAGATATACTGGACTGAATCTCCCTGTGAAAAAATCTTCTCGCAGAGAGAAAAAAAGCGTAGTTTCCGCAAAAAGGGAGAGAAGCCCAGCATGCTGCGGAAAATGGTGACTTGAAGCCATTTACAACAGTGTCGATGAATTGACGGGAAGTTCGCACAACGTCAATTCACCTATCAACGATAGTAATGGCAAATTACTTTTGAGCGCGGATGAACGCCAAGAAAGATTGTTCGAGCACTTTCGAAACATTCTTGACCGGCCTAAACCACTGAGGACCTTCTGTTTTGAAGGGTTTGAGGGCATGGAGCCAACTAATGAGTTTACCATCAATGTTGGCAGTTTACCAGCATGGGTAGCCAAAGCAATTCAATGCCTTCGGAACAGGAAAGCCCTTGGCAAAGACGAGATTCCGGCAGAATTCTGAAAGGCAGGTGGCAGCACGATAGTGAAAAGTTCACGGAATTGTATGACCGTTGCTAAAATGGTGAAGAGGTCCCAGAGGACTGGAGGAAAGGAGTAATTGTAAAGTTACCTGAAAAAAGAAATCTGGCGGATGGCGAAAACTGAAGAGGTATCACGCCTCTTTCGATTCCTGGAGAAGCAATTTGCGCTATACTGTTGCGACGATTCCGTGATGCAATTGACAGCCAACCAAGAGAAAACAGGCTGAGTTCAGAAAAGGAATACAGTGTTGTGAGCAAATATTTACTTTTCGTAACATTATTGAGCAATGCATTGAGCTTATACATTGACTCTTCATGAATTCCGTGGACTTCAGAAAGGCATTCGATAGCGTACACCGTGAATCACTATGAAAAATCCCCACATGTACGGCATACCGAGGCATTTTATTCGCTCATTCAAGTATCTGTACTTCAACTCTTCTTGTTGTGTAAACTTCTCGCTGTGTAAAGAAGGATACAGGCTATATTCCATTTCTTATAATCGTTACGGGAATACGGCAAGGGTGCGTCCTTTCGACGATGTTGTTCAACATCTGCCTAGATATTGACATGAGGAGAACAACACAGTGAACAACGGTAGGTGTAAGCTGGTTTATCGATAGAAGGCTCACTGATCTGGATTTTAAGGTTGACGTCGCACTCATTGCTGAAGACAAAGATGGATTGCAAAAGTCGCCGATATCCTCTAAGAAGAAGCGAACATGATAGGAATACGATTTAGCGCCAGTAAGTCGGAAGCCATGTCAATCGGTCAAGCTCACACACAGGTGAACATCAATGTGGAGGACACAATGTTGGGAAATGACGGCAAATTTACTTATCTCGGGAGTGACCAATAATGGCGATATCAAATAGATGCTCGTAGCTGCATTGCAAAAGTTACAGATGTGTTCAGGAGATTACAACCAATATGGTCACTATCGTCCATCTCTCGAAGCATTATGATGCGTTTGTATTCTTTTATTGTGATTCCTACCGCACTTTATGCAAGCAAAACGAAAATGTATGGCGAACCTAGTCAGGAGATGAATATTTTCTACCATAAGTACCTACGAGGGATCATGAAGATACGGTGCACGGATCACGTCACAAACGTCAAGGAAGTCCTGCGCCGCTCTGGTGTAGTTAGTCTCCACGTGATTGTGGCACGGCGTTGACTTTGATTGGCCCGTCACGTTTTACGTATGCTGCAGCAGCGTATCTTGAATGGCCATCTATTGGACATCTGGAGAAGCCAGGCGTGGAAGAGGCCGTCTCAGAAGTGCGTGGAGAAGAACACTTGACAACGATCTTAAAGTCATGAATGTTGCCAGGAACGAGGGAGAAGGTATTGCACAGAATCGGCAACGGTGAAAAGAGCTCCCCGCCCGATATGCTCAACGGCATGGAACGAACTAAGTCTAAGTAATGCGCTGCTTAATACTTAGCTTGCTTTCGAGACTGGGAAAATACCTAAACATGTCAAAAAGACTGCGTAATAACGATTTTATGATTCACTACTATCTGTTCCCCCCACAATCAAACCTTTTTCTTTTGAGACCATTAGCTTACCGTGTCTGGTGTGGATGCAGTGTAGCCGCGCACATACTCGTCCGTTACCCTAACATGACCATTGTCCAGTCGAACAACAATAGTGTCAATGCCATCGATCTGAAATGTCTCCAATTTTAGATGTTAGCAACAGGTTCAATACACCTTCAGTTTCTGAATGAAGAACCATGAAGCAATCAACAGCCTCTACAGTTTTACATAATGTTTAATACTGCTCTGCCGTACAGGTTTGCTACGGCTGAACCGCTTTATTAATCAACATAAAACTGAGTTGTCGTCTTCAGGACATGAAAGTACAGGGTGCGACAAATGTTCTGGCAAAGACCCGTTTCAGGTTCTCTTTAAAAAATGAGGCCTTCGATCTCGACGGGATCTGTGCCACTATTTACTGCAAGTCCTCTTCTGTGCATTCCATAAACTGACCGTTCTTGAATATGCCATTTTACAGAATAGTGATAAGCGAAAACCAACGACCCTCCATCCTGCACTTCCATCTGGCTGAATGCACGGCAAAGACCATCTTCAAACAGCTCCAGATTCCCTTAAGAACCGTGTACAACAGCCTCAACAGGTACAAGGCGACAGGAACTATGGAGGACAAGCCTAAAAATGGAAGACCGAAGAGTGCAACGACAAAAGAATTCGTGAGAATCATTCGAGAGAATTCCGCCGCCACCCTCGTAGTTCCAAGAGATAAACGGCTCTTGAGGTCGAAATTTCTGTTCGATCTGTCAGAAGGGTTGTCACCGGCCACCTTCGACTTCGCTCTTATAACATCAGAAAAGCTCACATGCTAACTAAGCGTATGAAGAAAACTAGGCTCAAAAGATCGTTTAAAGCGATTTTCGCACCAGAGAGCGTTTAAAGCGACTTTCGCAGGCACGGTACAGGGACATCCTCTTCACCAACGAATGCCTGTTTTCAACAGATCAATTCTTGAACACCCAAAACGTAGGATGATAGCGGGAGCCCTGCAGAAGCCAGCCAACATGGAGGGATTGCTCAGCGATCTGGACACCCCAAGCCGTTGATGGTTTTTGGGGCAAT